CTTCACATCAAGTATCAATGCCGTCCCTTCTGTATACAGGGTAGATAGGGACAGGCAACTTAGACACGATGGCATTTAACAACAACAACAAAACCTAAAATGAGGGGTTGATAAAGGGTTGAAATGACTGGCTTACAAGGTTTCAAGAGGAAGTTTAGTTTAAGAGTGTGGGAGCGGAGATAGAGTCCCCACTGAATAGTTGTCATCTTGTCTAGGTGGGTCTGGTGAAAAGAGATGGAGATAAGATTCTTACGATTCAATAGTAATAGTTATTATGACTAATTACAACCAACTGTCACAACTGTAAAGATAGAAGTTCTGTAACAAAAAGTGGGGAGTTAATCTTACAGTCCAGGAAAAATGGACCCTAGGATCATCAAAGGAAAAGAGTATGAGCGGAATGTGGGACCCTATCCAGAGAAGCAGTGACACCAGAGATGGAGGCAGAGATGGGAACATGGAGACAGGGAGCAGCTGAGGACTCTAGATTCCTGGAAAGAGAAAGGCTGTGTGCTGGCAGCCAGGAGGCAGGCTTGCAGAATATGCCCTTTGTTTGTTTAAATGATTATATATTCCTGAGTGTTTTTGTGGACATCCAAAAACAAAAACAGAAGGAATGGAGGCAAATACTGTTGAAGGATGATACATGGAGGAGATTGTAATCATTGCCATGAAACTATGAGTGTAAAACTGATTTTTTTAAAAATGATAATAGGAATTTTTCCACAAACTTTTTGAAGCCCCTTCGTACATGGAGCCCTGATGTGGGCTGTGGGTTAAGGCACTGGACTGCAAGGTCAGCAGTTCAAGCTCACCAGCTGCTCCTTGAAAACCCTATATAAGCTCGCTATGGGTCAGAACCAACTCGACAGCACTTAACAACAATGTACACGGAAGGACCCTGGTTGCACAATGGATTAAACATTAGGCTGCTAACCACAAGGTCACCAGCTCACACCAACCAGATGCTCTTCTGGAGAAAGATGGTGCTGTCTGCTCCCATAGGATTTACAGTCTCAGAAACCCCAGGGACAGTTTTGCTGTGTCCCATAGGGACGCTGTGGATATAATCTGGGGCTTTCATACATGGAGGGAACCTTCACCTGCCTCACTGAGTCTCAGACATGCTTCCATCTCCCTTCTTGAAGTTGTAGCACAACTGTGCCCACCCCCCGCACCCAGAGCACCCTCCAGGGACAGACAGACGTCTTCTCTCCAAGGGGCTGTCATCTACCATTATAGCTCTTCCCTGGTTCTCATTCCCTGCTTCATCTCTTTGTTTATTTCCTCCCAGCTATTTGCCACAATCTGTAGTTTAATGTTGGTTTTTAGGTTTATTGCTGTTGTCAGCTGCCGCCATCAATCCTGACATGTGACACCCCTCCCCCCAGATGTTACAAGAGTGGAGTTGCTCCATAGGGATGCAAGCCGTTTGCCAGGCCTTTCTTCCACAGAGCTGCTGGCTGGGTTCAAACCTCCACCCTTTGGTGAACATCTGATTGCAAACCACTTATGCCATCAGAGCACCTTGCATTTTGGATTACTTGGTGGGTTTATCTCTCTCCCTCGGCAGACAGACTGCATGCTCCTGCCCCAGGATTGGACAAATGGGAGTGGGCTCTGCAGAGAGGTGAAGGTGAGGCAGGCCAATGGTCCCTCAGGGCCCCCTCTTATCTAGACAAGGACCACTAAGGGGCAGTGAGGAGTATGAGAGTAGGAACAGCCCCTTCCCATCTCCAGATCAACGTGGGGGCTGGAAGGAGGGGTGCAGGGGTGCCTGCTGTGTACACAGCTAATGGTGAATTCCAGTGCCCTCACTTGGATGCATCTGGCCTGCCATGTCAGAAGACAGGGAGGAAGGACTATCCAGGCCCTAATCTGTACCCGTGGATCAGTGAATATGGCCCCCAGGAGCGCTGGAGAAGGGGTCCCGGGCCCCATCTCCACTGGGCGGAACAGGAAAGGGGTAATTTAATCAGCACTTCTCCCCCCATCTGGAACATTCTACATGGAAAACCCATGGAACAGCTGGGGAAGCAATTGAGGGTCTTTAATTAAAGACCGATGGCTCTCCCATGGAGCTCCCCGCCCCCACCTCCTCCCTTCTCTGCCCCCAAACACATGCAGCCATCAGAGCCACATCTGCCTGAGGTGTGTTCTGAAACAGCTGGGCACCCTGGCGGTCAGGCCAAGTGACCACTGGGAGTAGGACAGAACATGCCTGGTCTCCTTTTCTCTCTGATGCCCCAGGGCAGGGAGACCTCAAGAAACAGAGAAGTGGACCACCCTTCCCTGGGGTCAGGAAAAGAACTTAAAGTTGTTGGGAGAAAATCAGGACAGTTCGGAGTGAGAGCATCTCCAACTCTGCCTGAACTTTCTGCTGGGAAAGGCATTGCAGGCAGGGGGAACAGCATGTGCATAGGCCCTGCGGTCAGGAAGAGTCTGACAGTGGAACTACTGACCGGGGCCAGTGTGTCTGGAGAGTTGGAGTGAAGAAAGCTACAGGATGAGGAACAAAGCTGCAGCCAGCATCTGGTCTTTATCCTGAAAGCAAGGGGAGGGGTGGATGGAGGGAATCGGAGCGTTTTCTAAATAATGGGATCTTGTTCATCAGAAATCGGCCCTGCGGCTGTCATGCTGAGAAGTTATTGTAGAGAGCAAAACGGGGGCTGGGGTGGGGGTGAGGAGGTCATCATCGCAGTGTGCAAGTTTAGACAAGGGTGGTGCTAGGGACAAGGGAAGAAGAAACATGTGTGACTGGGACCGGGGACTTGGCCAAGGGCAGGGGCTGTTCCGCCTTCCCTCCCACCCCCACCGGCCAGGGCAGGCTTCAGGGAACAGGTGCTGAGGGGCCAGCTGTGTGCCTCCTAAAGGAAGACATCAATGCAGGGGAGGGGGCAGGCCCCCAGCCAGGTGCCCCCTTTGCAGCAGGGCAGGCATCCAGCATGGAGCCTGGCCCGTCTGCCACATCCGTTTTACTTGGAACCCAATGAAGCACTTCCTCAGCCACTTCATCAAAGGTCTCGTCCTGGACGCCATGGGTACATCTAACTACAGCTGTGTCCACATCTGTCAGTCATGTAGCGGCTGCAACCTCAGGGGTACTGGGAAGGAAGTCCAGAAGAGCCCCAGCCTTGCCCTGGCCTGGCCATGGAGGGCAGGGCCTGGCACCAGTGCTGACCCCTCTGGGCAACTCCTGACCCACATCCGCTGTGCCCCGAACACTGCAGGAGCAAGGGTGGGCCTCAAGGCTGCTGGAGAACGACCCCACCCCACCCCACCCACCGACATGCTGAGTGTGGGCTCATGGGACAAGGGACAAGGATAGAGCCACAGCTGACTCTGTTGGTAGACAGAAAGGAGACAAGACTGACGGACTGATCTTCCTCGGAATCCCCTTATTCGCTCCACCCTGGCCCAGGACATGAAGCCACTCAGGTTTAAAGGTACATCACAACCAACGAGGGTTGTGGATCAGAGGAGCAGCCCAGGCAACCAGGAGGCCACTGGCAGGACAGCCAGTGGACAGCTGGCAGGAGGTGAGGGGCTGAGAGGGCCCACTTTTCAAGGGTGGGGCTGAACTGGTACCCAGCGTGCCTAAAGTCTGGCCCGTCACATGAGGAGCCTCAGACAGCTGGGCAGCAGATGGACATCCATCTCAACCCATCGTTGGAGGGAGTGGCCATACACACAGCCAAACTGGGGCAACCAGGGCCTGGGGCAGGGGCTGGCCACAGCTGGGTCGGGGCAGGGTTCTGCCAGGAACCGTGTGGAGAAGCACCCCAAATACATACAGGGTTACCTCGGACTCACTGGCAGGCAAGAGTGCTCACTGCACATGGTATTGTTGGGTGGTGTCCAGTTGATTCCAACTCACAGTGACCCCGTGTGGCAGAGTCCAACTGCCCCATGGGGTTTCCTAGGCTTTGGGTAAGCATTAGGCTGCTAACCAAGAGTTGGTGGTTCAAACCCACCAGCTGTTCCTCTGGAGAAAGATGAGGCCGTCTGCTTCCACCAAGATGGCGGCCTTGGAAAGCCTGTGGACCAGCTGGCCTCTGCTCTGCAGACAAGGCACTCTAAGCTGTTAAAGACTCGTTGGCCGTGGGCTTGGGTTTGGTTTGGGATCTTTGTGGGAGCAGTTTGCCAAGTCTTTCTATCTCAAAACCCCTAGGTAGATTTGAACCACTCACCTTTCGGTCACTAAACCAAAAAACCAACCCCAATGCCTTCATCTCGGGTTCCACTCATAGTCACCCCACAGGAAAGAGTAGAACTGCCCCCATTTGGTTTCTGAGGCGGCCCATCTTTACAGGAGCAGACTGCCACATCGTTGTCCCACAGAGCAGCTCTGGGTTCGAACTACCAACCTTCTGGGTGTCAGCCCAGTGCTTAACCAACTGCACCACCAGGGCTCATTCACTGCATGCTAGAACAGGGAACTGGAAGAGCGCAGGTTTCTCCTCCTGCCCCATCACCTAACTGAGCCACTTGGGGGCCTCAGTCTCCTCACCTGGAAGATGGGAACAAGTCATGCTCTGTGTTAAGAAGAGAGGCTGAGTTGGCTTCCAGAGCCATCAGGGCTCCGCTGTGTGTTGCTGGTCAGGCCCTAAACCTCTCTGAGCTTCATTTCCTGACATGAGATCCATCACACTGCGTGCCCCAAAGCATGTACTGAATTTTTCCACAAATAACGTGCAAAGCATATGCTTTTAACCCATGTAATCCTTGGGCATTAGTTCCCTATGTGTACTATGCACGTATTTGGTTGTTTTCAGGTAAGCACGTTCTATGTGAAAATACAGTAAATGGAGCCAAGTTTTTAATATGATTGCTTCCACCCCCACTACCCAACCCTGCAAGGCATCTGAAAGAATATCGAAGCAACTTTATTCTTTAAATACTTCTCTCTCTCTACTCAGCACACATACACAATCTGTTCTGGCTGACACGTGGACATAAATTAAGGTTCCCAAGTGTCCCCAGGCATGACACACAGCTGGTCAGTCCCAACCAAAGTCCTGGCCGGTCATCTGGTAGAACTTGAGGTTGAAGGGCCGGTAGAAGTCTCGAAGGCGCTGGACCACGGCCTCTGGCACTCGGGGATGGGGCCGGCCCTTGGATTTGCCCAGGCATCGGGGCCGGCTGCCCCCCTGGGCTTTCTTAAGGCAGGGAAAGCCCTTGGTGGCATTGAAATAGAAGTGTTTGTCTGTGACGACCCTCTTGAGGCCCAGGAAGTCTTGCACGCGGCCCACCTCGCCAGCCGGGTCACTGACCAGACGCTCGCCACTGACAAACAGGAAGTGGGACAGAGGGAAATAGCGTAACCAGTGGTCAAGGTGCTGGGCATAAAGGCCGATGCGCACGGCACTCCAGGCTGTGTCCACAGGGCCCAGGCCGTGGCGGAAGGCCAGGGCATGGAAGCTGGGCAGGCCCGGCGTCTTGGAGAGCGTCTGAGCATAGTCGGAGATGGCCCGCGTCACGGGGTTGCGCACTACCACGATCAGCTTGGTGTCTGGGGACATTCCATGGATGCGGCGGGGTGCCTCTCGTGTCACAAAGTAGCTGGGGGTCTTTTCCATGGTGATCTGTCCCTCCAGGGTCCGAGGCATCAGGCTCCTGGAGGAAGGAGGGCACAGAGGTGGGCATGAGCTGATGTCCCGAGCGAGAGCACCTCCCATCCCAGAATGGACCCCCAGGACCAGGGACCAGTCCCTACTCTTTCTTCAGGTGGTTCAAATGGGATCTAATGCTGACTGAAAGGCTGGTGATACGAATCTACCCCAGGCACCTCAGAAGAAAGGTCTGGCAATACATTTCCAAAAAACTGGCCGTTCTGCTTGGAGACCCATGCTATTGTGGTGGTTATTATGAAGTACCGTCGAGTTGGTTCCAACTCAGTGATCTTGTCTAGGGTTTCCGAGGACCAGATGAAGGGTTTTAACCACAGATCTTGGGGTTCAAACTGACCTCATGGTCCAATGCATCATCTTGTAGCACCACCCAGGACTCCCTGGTATACACGGGGTCACCAAAAGTTGGACACAACCCAACAGTAACTGGTTCTGGTGAGCCTCCCCCTTAGGCCCAACCCTCCTCACTGCTTAGCTGGCAGCCTGGGGTTCGGACATGGACAGTGGGGCCCAGCTCACCACGCTGCCCCTATTCACTGTAGCTCTGGGGGCCCCAAGACCCTCTTCCTGAAAATTCTCTGTCACCTCCCCCCAGCAAATGCTAGCTCCCCGAGTCCCAGCAATCCCCCACCTGCCAATCTCCCACACAGCTCAAGACTGCACCCAGCCCTGACCTGGCACTGCTCTGACCTTCGTCCCCACGTTCCACGAGGCCAGCCTGGACTTGCCAGCCACAGGTTCCACCTGCCCTTCCCACCCACAGGAATCAGCTTTGTAATTACTCCCGGTCACACTTTCAGGACTTGGCTCACAGCATCCCCAAAATGAGGACATGAATTATGGATAAGTTCCCCCCAGAGAGGATAGCCCTCTTCCTCTTCCACCTTTAATTATAGCCCCACTAGCCCTTGCTGGACAAAGTGCCCTGGTAGCACAGTGGCTAATGTGTTGTGTTGTTAACCGCAAGGTCTGCAGTTCAAATCCACCAGCCACTCAACGGGAGAAAGACGAGGCTTTTGCTCCCATAAAGACTTTGTTGTTGTTGTTGTTGTTGTTGTAAGTGCCGTGGAGTCGGTTCCAACCCATAGTGACCCTGAATAGGGTTTCCGAGGCTGTAAAGCTTTACAGGAGCAGAAAGCCTCATCTTTCTCCTGCAGAGCAGCTGGTAGTTTCGAACTGTTGACCTTGCGGTTCACAGCCCAATTCCTAAACACTAAGCTACCAGAGTTACCACCTCGGAAACCCTGTTCTAGTCTGTCGTATAAAGTCACTGACACTCGGAACCCACTTGATGACAGAGGAAACACTCACTAAAGGGGTCCTAGTAGCTAGGTGCCCCTGTAGGAGAAGTACTGGACCAGAATGTGGGTTAGAACCACAAAGTCAGTGGATCAAACTCACCAGCTGCTCCTCAGAAAGCCTATGCACGGTCACTGTGAGTCGGAAGAACAAGTGCTGGCAGTTGGAACCTTCCAGGTGCTTCCAGGTGCTTCCAGCTGCTTCCAGGTGCAAAGACCTGGTGATCAGGAAGATTTGTGGCTGTTGTGAAGTGCCAGCAAGTTGGTTCCGACTCAGAGCGCCCTGTATGCGGTTTCTGAGGAGTGGCTGCAGGTGCAAACTGACGATGCAGCCGAGTTCTAACCCTACACCACCGTACCAGGACTCCCCGGAAAGATCACAGCCGAGGCTACCCCATGGAGCAGTTCGGTCGTGCCTATAGGATTGCTATGAGACAGAATAACGCCTCCGCAATAGGGCTTTTGATTCTTGTTTTTGAACCCTCATTGACCTGCATCTGGACCCAGCAGAATTCAGCACACTCTCTGGTGTTGTTGAGTTGGCTCTGACTCCAGGTCAGCAAATAAACAAACACCTTAGAGGTCCCAGGGGCCTGGGTTCCATTTCCGATGGTGAGAACAGAACACTGACTCAATCACCAGGCTCAGGGACCCTGAATCCCCTGACGACCACCCAGGGAAGGGGGGGCAGGCCCAGTGCAGAGCACCCAGACTGGGCAGGCCCAGGCATCCTGAGACCTAGCCCGAGGCATCACCTGCAGACCAGGCAGTGCCAGGTGAGGTTGGGCAGGATAGGGTGGGGCAGGTGCCCCAGAACCAGCTGTGCAAACAGCGCCCGGGGAGGGAGGGATGGGAACTAGGTCAAAAAAGACACTGCCTCGCCCTGTGCCAGGGAGGGGACAACCTGCCCAGCCCCGCCTGGCCCCGTCAGCCCCCGGGCCTGGCACCAACCCACAGGACAAAGCAGGCTACGGGTTCCAGCCCGCCTAAGAACCCTCGGACCCCTGGGAGGCAGAGTTTGAGGCTCGTCTGCCTTCTCAGACCCCATGAACCTCTGGCCAGGTGGAGGCTTCACTCGGAGGTGACATCTGGGCAACAGGGAGGACATGTGGGAAGAATGACCACGAAAGGCTGCCCGCTCTCCGGCCCCCACCGTGGATACTATAGAGCTAGGGTGGGCAGCATGGGCTGGGAGCTGTCACCTTTCCAAACAAGACCTCAGCCAAGGATGATCTGCAGAAGGTACAAGGATGAAGGGACAGCTGGCTGGAACTTTTCACCACCTACTCATGGCCCCATTAGATAGGCAGGCACACTGAGGTGCTGAGGGGGGATGGGAGGCCCACAGCACTGCCCCTATACCGCACCTGCTCCTGAAGCCCAAACCACGTGCCCAACCCCCAGCCTCCCCACATACACACACACACACACACACATACACACACACACATCCAAAAGCGTCAGTGGAGCTGCAGCTTGAGTGTCAATCAAGCCCAAGGACTTCTCTCCCTACTGGAGATCCACAAAGAGAAGGAGTTCGGGGACTGACCCACAGCAGGAGCACCCTCCCTCCAAAAAACCCACTGTCATCCAGTCCCATTCATAGGGACCCTATAGGACCAAGGAGAGATGCTGAGTAGGGTCCGGGCTATAACACTTTACAGGAGCAGACTGCCTAATCTTTCTCCCACGGAGCCATTGGTGGGCTTGAACTGTCAACCTTAGCAGCCCTACACTTAACCCACTGTGCCATCAGGGTCCCAGGAACCCTAACTGCTCTTGGCTTAACCCCCCTCTTCCCTTTCCCAGACGGCCACGTTGAGTACCATCCCACTCAACACTTAGGGGGAGCTGCAAGAACTATGGCAGACATCATGGTGACATTGTTCTTAAGTGCAGTCCAGTCGTTTCAAGAGCCATACAGACCCTCTGTAGGGTTAACAAGGAGCAGCTGGTGAGCTTGAACCACGACCTTGTGGTTCAAACCAATTTTGCAGTCCAGCACATTAACCCACAGCACCACCCCAGGATTCCATGGTGACATTAGCACCCCACACATTCATCCTCTCCAAGGGAGTCAAGAGTAGACAGAGCAGTCAGCGGTGCTGGGATCTACTAATGGAGGGGAGGGAATGGGACGTCCAGGCCCCTTTGGCCACAAACCAGCTCCAAGATCTGAGCAGCCTGGCACAGAGGGAAGGGGGTGGGCTCTGGGGGCGGGGGCCCAGGACTCTGACCCCCACGCAGCAAACATCTGACAGACCCTCCCGCTGCGCCCGCCCCATCTGGTTGGCATTTCCCTGCGGTTTGCATTCAGTCCTGGGAGGCTCCCCAGCCTCTCACAGTTCCCTCCACCTCCCCTGCCCCTGCCCCACACCTCTTCTGGACCAATCCAGTGGCCTGGAACCCCAGGAAGGCAGTGATTGCTCATACCCCAGTGCCAATCATCAGGGGCAGTGCGAGGGGGGGGGGGTGTGGGGGGGTGTTCTCACCACTCACACACTCAGGTTCCCACTTCCCACATTCACATACACTGTTCTTGTGCCCTAGGAGTCCAGAGATTCCCCTGCTGTACCGTCCAGGTCTCCTCTTGCTTTCCAAATTATTACCGTTCAAGTCTAGCCTGCATCCTGTTCCCAGAGGTCAAAGTGGAGCCCCCATTCAAACTGAGGTCTCAGAGTGCTTGTGACCCTAAACTTTGCTCAATGAGTGAGCAAGTAATGTCAGTTTGGCGGCTTGCAGGGTACTGTGCCCAAGAGGGACCCAGGCCCCACCTGGGATGACCCTCTAGGTGAGGAGCAGCTAGTAACCCCAGTTGAGTTTCTGGGACACCTGCTCTCCACGAGGAGTAAACGAATGCATCTCAGGCCGTGCTCTGGCCTGTCCTGTGGCCTTGGCTGGTGGCTCTGAACTGCTCAGAGTGGACTTCAATCAGGTCTTCCCCTTCCCATTTGTCCATCTCTACTGGATCCCCAGGGAGACACCCAAGGAGAGACAGAGATCACCCTCCTGCAATCTCTGCCCACCTCCTCTCAGGTAAGGTGTGTTCTAAACATGCCCAAGAGAAAGCTCTCTTCTCTGTATGCACCTGAAACCGCACATCTCCAAGAAACACACCTGCTCGGGGCTCAGGATCTGAATGCGGCCACCTTTCAGTCTCCTCATTCTCCCCAGACCTCTCCTCAGGAGCTACAGCCAGCAACTGGGGGGTGTGATCCCCCTCAGGATTCCCAGCTCTTTGAGACTCCTTTGAGGACTGGTTCCACCTATGGGAACCTCCCTGGGCACCCCTCCTTTAGCTTAGCACCTTGCAGTTCCGCTCTGGACATCAAGCAGCTCCAAGTTTGCACCAAAGTTCCTGGTATGTTCTCAGCCCTCCCACCCTTTTCTCCAGATGCAGAGATGGATTAGGGATGCTGACTGACTGCCTGCCTGCCTGCCTGCCTGCCTGCCTGCCTGACTGACTGACTGACTGACTGACTGACTGACTGACTGACTGACTGACTGCCTCCCCTGCTGGCCTACCAACCTGAGGCATGAGCCAGTGGTCTCTCACTGAGACTTGGGCTCAGAGGATGCCAGATTCAGCCAGAATGGGCTCATCTCTCCAGTGCCCACTTCCCTGGCACCCCCAGACAGCAGCAATCCTTGATGAACTGAAATCCCCTTCTCTTTCCAAGGCCCCCTGCCTTGTCTCCAAACCAAAGAAAGTCTCCAATGCAAATGGCAGAGATAGGAAAGTGCACAAGATGGTGTAAAAGGAACTGGGAAAGTGGGGCACCCCCTAATTCATCTTAGGCAGGGTCCCCTCTGATATGAGGGGGAGCTGCAGGGGTGGGTGATTCATTGTCCCCAAGAGCAAACGGGACCTAGGAGAAAGAGGCAGACGGCAGAAGGTACTGCTCAGGATCTGGGCCTTCGTTACAACCTCAGTGGGGACAGGCTGGATGCACTCCTCATTCCAATGTATCCCAAGGCTGACCCAGTGGGGGCAAGCTGGTCCCAGAGCTTCAAACACAGGCCTGGTACCATTCCCACCCACTCCTGGCACTAGCTGAAAGGCAGGTCCCTCCTTTCTAAGGTCTAGACTTCCTCTAGCCCCCCAGCACCACCACGGAAGACTCCTCTGCCCAGGGCCAGGATATCCGGGGGAGGCCCCTTTCTTGGTTAACTGGTCCCACATGTCCCACCCTCAAAAGTGGGCCGTCGGATGGAGGAGGTGACTGTGCACTACTATTTCCACTGCTCCACACCCACCGGCTAGTTAGAAGCGATTTCTCCCTAAGACTCCCTCCCCCAACTCCACCCTGGCCCCCGCCGGTCTGCAGTCCTAACCCGGAACTTTTCCTGAGTTTTCAAAGTTTCGAGGACCGCCCTCCTTTGCTTAAAGTCCCCACCCAGAGGCCCGAGCCTGCCCTGGCCAAAGCTAGGCCCTGAGACATACGAGGCCCGGCCGGGACGACCCACGGAGGCAGACGGGCAACGGGGCGCTCACCGGTACCAGGCGAGGCCACGCTCGTAGCACCTGTCGAAGAAGTGAGGCTCGGAGCCGAGCGCGCGCACGTCGGGGTGCAGTCTCAGAAACTCGAGGAGTGCTCGCGTGCCTCCTTTCTTCACGCCCACGATCAGCGCCTGCGGGAAACGCCGACGGCCCTGGCCGCTGGCCACCGGCA